ATGAATCCGCTTGTTGGCGAGGACCACGTGAAAAAACCGCTATGCTAGGTCCTTGGCTGGGGGGGGAGTGATTCTTCCACGCCCCCTTTATCTTACCCGTTGTTAAAACTAGATACATTTGAATGTGGCGCCGACCGATTGTGTACTACTTAGCCGATCATCATAACAACCAAGAGTGTCTAATGCCAATCGTCTATCCGTAAATCATCTGGACGTCCCCTAGAGGTCGGAAAACGTTTTCGTTTTGAAGAGTGGTTGTGTTGAGAAAGAGAGTAATACAAACTAGCTAAATAAAAGTAATATTATTTCTAGTCCCGGTCTATAGATCTAATAGAAGTCCATTCAGTTTGTCTTGGCTTTCGGCTGACACTTGATAACTTAGAAATCTGTAAAAAAATATCGTTCGGACATATGTGACTGCATTTTAAATAAGTTATTTATCATTGTTATCAATTTTTAAACAATCTGTTAACAAACCTAACCTAACTTGTTGACTGTTTATTCACTCTCACGTGTAGCAACCTAGAAATTTACTATGGTTAAAGTGTATGTTTCCCTTTTTAGAAAATTGTAAATGTATGGCACCACACTTAATCTATCTTCATTTTCAATTTTAGACCTTAAATCCTAAATTTACGATCTCGATTTTGAAGAGGAAATGGCGTATTTTTTTAATTGTTGATCTAATAAGTATATTTTAGGTACGATTTCTGTTCTATATACAAACTACACGAAGAAAACGTTTCAGCGATTTAGAAGATATCGTGGGTCCCCCGTCCCGCCATAAAAAAAAATCCATCATTGCAGTGGCATCATTTCAGTTCTCGAAGGGGGCAAAAGTTGTGACTGGCCCATATAACTGAAAAATACACTGTATTTATTATCGTAGGAACATTATTCTAAATTCTTTTATGAAAATATTGACCAATAAAAGCCTACGTTTACCCAAACCCTGCCCTATTTTCCTATTTCTATAATATGCTGATAAGTGTTGTCTTAGTAACGTGCCGATTGTATCACATATTGATTGTAATATACCAGAACCGCGGTTAGTCAGTCTACAGAGTACAGGTATTATAATGGGGGATGTGGGAGAAGCCCTCCCCTGTAGTGTTTGACAGGATCTGTGCTTGTGACTGTTTCGTCATCATTTACAACTATGATGCCATTCACTTGACATCCCAAAATCATCAATTACTCGATATTTGCTTTTGGTCACCGCTCTCTTTTTTATAAAAATATGGAAAATCGATTAGAATAAAATATTATGGTTTCTCAACGATAAATATACTCGACAGCTACTGTGAATATTGTGTGAGACGATGCGTTCTTATTATATATTATATACGAGTCGGATAGACGCGATTGGTGTGGTGGCGGTTATCTTGTTAGCGGATTTTGAATGAATATAATAAAGAGTTTTCGGTTTCGACATTTGATACCCGACGTCGAAAGCTTCGGTTAGAAGATCGAGTGTGCCCAAGGGACGTGTATGTTATTATTTTTATCGTAGGAGCCATTACACAGTAGAGTAACAAGATATAGTCGATTGTTGAACCTCGTTGTATTATTACACCGGAGTTTTTTTTTCTTTTTTTGGGCGGGGGGTGGGGGTAAAGCGATTATATGACTTCCTAAGTAGTAAGTACCCGAGCAGTATGCGCCATAACTCAAAACTACACGGCGAGTGTGGGTTTCTTTTAGTGTCACCGTCGCGAATTTTGTACTTATTTTATGTGTTGTTATTGTTAATTTGGATTTTTTATTTTTAAATTGTTTTTATAAGCTTGCGCGATCCGGCGTCGAAACGTCAAATTTGCTATTGCCGCAGCGTTATATATTAATATTGAACTCAAAAATAAACGCGTTAGTCATCGGCCGAGTAACACAATAAAGACAAAGCGCTAACTTTTAAATTTAGACGGAACGCTAAAGCGATTGCTCACGATACAGACTCGGCTGATGACAGATGAGATACTCGACAATATACCAATTGTGAGCGCCCACAACAGACAGAATGGAGAATTATTCTTTTATAATTTAAAGTGTCAAAAAACAAACAAATTATAATCAGGTACCTTCGACGCAAAGCTGGATTTGACGCAAAAGCGATTTGCGTTTAGAAAAATAGACATATAGAGATATTTTAAACATATCCAAAGTATGTGTTAATGCGTGCATATATTAATGAAATTATAATATGTCTGGTCGGTGAATTTTTTTCGGATGGGTGTCCTTCTCCTTATCCCACCATTCGGACTGTATAGTGACCATTAGGTACATTTAAATATATCAAACCTTGCTGCAAAGCTTTTTAAAAATAACATATACACTCCTCGTACTCATCACGGATGACAATAAGAGTGTTATGTAAATATTGAACTGTTAAGGAATTCTTAGAAAAAAAACTTGGAGATCACAAACAACAAAGAGATCTAAACTGACCTGACCTGACCGTAGTAACAATGAGAGAGCAAACCATTCGTTTGTGCGGTACACCTTTTGATTAAAGCATTTCAATGACCTAATATCAGGCGCGACAAGTATAATCGTTACTCGTTAACATACAGGGTGTCCCATTTTAAAATACTAATCGATTTTTCTCTAAAAATACTAATCCAATCAAAAAGTTGCTTATTAGAGACTTTTAGAGTACAAAGGAGGACGTTATAAAAAATTTAAAAATAGGGTACAAAATTCAAAATGGCTGACTTACGGTCAAAAACGTGTTTTTTTTAAATGGAAACCATGTATTAACAACTTTTGTAGGAACATTTTTTCGGTAAAACCCATAGTTTGTAAATTAAGTATCTTTAGCTATTTTTAGTTTTGTTATTTTATTTTAATGCATATGGCAACCTTGCATGTGTGGTAACTATGGTATTTATAGTAACTTTGGTATGTGTGATAACTTGGTATGTGTGGTAACCTTGATTTGTTTGGTAACCATGATATGGGTTGTAACCATGGTATGTGTGGTAACCGTGGTATCACAAAGACAAAACCCCTGGTTACCACACATACCAAAGTTACTAAAAATACCATGGTTACCACACAAACCAAGGTTACCACACATACCAAGGTTACTACACATGACAAGGTTACCATATGCATCAAAATAAAATAACAAAACTAAAAATAGCTAGATACTTAATTTACAAATTATGGGTTTTACCGAAAAAATTTTCCTACAAAAGTTGTTAGTTTTGATAAGAACATTTATTTGGTTAACAAAAAGTACATGGTTTCCATTTAAAAAAAACATGTTTTTGACCGTAAGTCAGCCATTTTTAATTTTGGACCCTATTTTTTTAATTTTTATAACGTCCCCTTTTGTACTCTAAAAGTCTCTAATAAGCAACTTTTTGATTGGATTAGTATTTTTAGAGAAAAATCGATTAGTATTTTAAAATGGGACACCCTGTATAGTAGTATACGATCACGATGGCTTAGAACATACGTGGCCGGTTAAGAAATTGATGCATCTTGAGAGAGAGCATTATCACATTTTTTTTTACACAACGCTGTTTATAATACTTGAAAAGATTTACATTTTCCGTACGTTGCGCCTTGCGGTTACATCTATGATCTGAGGCTTATTTTACTTTTACAAAAATTTGAAAGGGAGGAGTTTATGTTAGAGATAAACAAAACTCGTTCTCCGTATGGAGTATAAATGCATTTTGTCTATTAATGAGTGTATAGAAAAATTTGGTTTTTCAGAATTTTGTAAAAAAAACCCATACCCAAATGCTTTAAACTAGGAAGTTTAGGATAAACAATTTATTTTTTTTTTCCATGACCTATTTACTTCAATGTAACTTAATACAACTGAATGTTTAGCTATGATTTAGTCAGTATTTTGAGGAAATCTAGGGAATGGGCAATTTCCTCATGTGTATTTTACTGTAACCTTTTCTGCTTCTTAAAAATCTTATTGTGGATAGGAAATAATTATTCACTAGTAGTGGGAACGAAAGAAAACATTTTTGATTTTTGTCAATGTTATAATATGTGTATATTATGATGGAACCATATCATGCGAGAGGGGAATAAGACCATTTTTAAGCATTTTAATGTTTGACGGTTTCTATGTTTTTGGAAAGTAGTTTTTACGTTTGGTAGTTAACGGTTTTCTGTCCTATCTCGAACGAGAAGATTAATTCATTTTCTTAACCCTTTGTCATATTTGGGCGTTTTGATAACTTTACTCGACACAAGCTGAGTTAGGTAAAACAGATGAATGTAACTGAAGGTTAAAATTTTTCCATCGGCTATGTGAAATTATATAAATGAACGACTAATTGAAAACATCAATTTCATATTTTGCTCTTACAAAAACTAGTTGGTACAAAAAAATTCGTCTTTGTCTTAACAGGGTTCTCGCCACTATTTCTGGCGCTCGTTATTCGTTTTTTAAATCGTTCCAGTTTTTGCGTTATTTTGTCGTAAAAAAAAAAAATATATATATATATTAATTATTATTGTTTTTAATAGCGTAAAACCGGTTCGTGTAAAAACTGAGTATTGTCGCGTGTATAAAGAAAAAATTGAGCATCGTTTAGCATGTTTTAAACGAAATCAAATTAAGTTGTAATTTTTCAAAAAAAAAAATTCCTCCGCCGCCGTCCGCGCATACCACCGTCGTCGGTCCGACCGTAGGCGTTTGTTTCGTTCATTCATAAAGTACATATTTTTCGACTGGCGGTATTTTAGCGTATTCGCTCGTCCCACGTGTTTAACCTGCACACGCTCACACACCACACACACATTTTATTAAACGCATGACAAATATTATATAAACACACACACACACACACACGAGTGGCAAGAAGACTAAAATAATAATAATACATAATATTATACAAGAGCCACCGTACTGTTGCCTGTTGCCGTATTCAACGGCCGCGGCGAGTAACCCTTTCCCCCTCTCGGCCGTTTGTAATGTGTTACAAACACATACGCGTCCGCCGTCGTCGCCGTCGCCGCCGCCGCCGCTCAGTTCGACTTCGGAATCGGTTCAGTTTGTTGCTGACGGCTCGACGCCGTACACACTTGTTATTTCACATGCGACCGACCGACAAAAGCGGATCGACGGTATCGACGCGATTTTGATGATATAGAATATAATTTATTAATAATTATAATATTGATCATAAATAATACGCGACGCGTTCCCGGTGTCCGTCGTTCGGTCCGCCGTCGCCCGCGCACAGCTGCCGTCGTGGGGGTAGCACCGTCGTTTTTCTGGACGGCCCGCAGACGTCCGGTTGTCCAATAATCGCGGTCGGCCGTTCTGTGTCAACACGGTGGCAAACGACGCGGCCGGCAGCGACCGCCGCGGTGGTGCCGGACGTTGTCATCGTCAGCGGCGCGGTCGGACGACCAACGGCGACTCGACCGGCGGGTGCGTTGGGTGTCGCCCGGACACGGCCGACGACCGAGCGGACGGCACGACGTCTAAGAAAATCACGACGGCCGGCGGTGGACGACAACGGCGACGGTTTTACGACCGGTTTCACAACGGCGGCAATAACAGCGGCAGCACGGGCGGCGGCAGTAGCAGTTGTAGTAGCGGCAACGGCGGCGGCGGCGGCAGCAGCAACAACAGTATCATGCACACATTCCGGTTGCCGGAGTTCCTGAAATGCGTCAAGAACTATCTGAACAAAAAAGGTAAAAAAAAATAAAAATAAAAAACGCGCACGACCGTCCAACGATGACACCACGTCTATCGCCGTGTAATCAATGGGGGGGGGGGGCAGAGCACCATCCCCGATCTCGGATCTAGACGCTGTGTCGGGACCGAGACGATAACGCGACCCGGCGGCCTTTCCGCGATTTTTGTCGTCGTTGTTCATTAACAATAGCCGCCGCCGTACTACCTATGCAGTTGTCGCTGATAATACAATATGATCAAACTGCAGTTGGCATAAACGTAAAATACGTGTAATAACGATATTAGGTACTATATTAAAAAAAAAAAAAACTATTAAAATTAACGATCGTTTCGACGTGTGTACGCGCCTAAAAATCTTGGAAACTATTACAGTAGGTAACAATAATTAGCGACACGAAATTATGTATGTGTGCTATACCGGTTGACACCTTGTGTAGTAAGTTGTTTTGAAGACGGCGGTGAATCGACGACCGTATTGTCACCGTGTCTTGGCCGGTGTCGTTTGTTGTTCGGTTTTAGTCCACCGACGGAGTAGGTATAACCTACACTCTGAACCACCCACGTCGGTGGTCAGACGCGGCCGGTATACTTACCTTCTTGGGCCGTGCGTTTAACAGACGCCCGGTAATTGGGGGGTGAAAATGGTCTGTAGGTTTTGAAAACGTTCTCAGACGAGTAACGGTGTGGTCGGTTATCAGCTGGATTGTACGACGCATACACTGTTTTTTTTTTAAATATGATATCTGGACCCTGGCCAAACGGTTTGTACACAGAGCGTTTTATTAATACTGGCGTTTATTTTTTGGTTTTGTTTTATTTCGATATTTTATTTTTGTAACGATATATTAATAACGAAAAAATACGATTCCAATCACGTCTTGACGGACACATACACACACACACCACTCGCACAGTCACCTGCAAGATATTCGTACATATATTGTACAATTTTTTTAAAATACCGCTCGTTTTTTCCCCAACGAGGTCCCTTTGGAGATGAGGGGGGAACCAAATCGATGAAATCTGGTGGTAAGTGTGTTTTTTTATTAAAATCGGCCAAGCTCTTCCGCGGTAGCCCCGCCGCCTGCTGCCTTCGTCACTTCCGTTATTCCGGGAAACCGTCTAGTCAAGATTTTTTTCTCAGCTATTCCTCTACAACAAATTACTATACTTCAACGAGCGACCGCTGGCCTTACGGTTGGCGCTTCTTCTCGCCAAGATTATTATCATAATTATAATAATAATAATGATAATGCAATTTAACGTTAGTATTTATTATAAATTACACAGTATGTGAGAAATAATGCGCGTGCGACGATACCTCTGGCCGGCGGTATGCCTTCGCATAAATAATATACTATTTACGCTTGTAATACAGTGTTTCAAGGACGTTTGTCGCTTTTATCCGTTTGGTTTGTTTTTCTCTCTCTCTCTCTCTCGTTAAGGTCGACTTTATAAAATTATAATAATAATAATAATATAAACGAACGCGACTCTCGACCGTGTTTACCACCGGCGGCGGCGGCGGCGGACCCTTATCGTGTGTGTGCTGTACAGCTGTGTAGTACAGGGTGATTCACAGACTGTTGTAATTGGGCAGACGATATGTGAAACCGTGTGAATGATAAAATTACAACACTATATCCGGCGGTTAAGATAATCGGTTATATATTAAAAGAAAAAAGTAAGAATAAAATGGACCGGACTGGCAAGATATTATAATATTGAATAATAACTATCACCATTAGGTACAGTATGTACGGTTATTGCACAATACAATAGACTCAATAGACGTACATAACAAACGAAACAATAATAATAACAATATTATAATAGTGTTGGTCGGTTCGAAACGGAGTAGTCAATGTTGTTTACCGGCAGTGGAAGTGATAATGATAACGAGCCCGGTACCAAGAAAAAGCTTTATCGATTTCCTATTTTGCTGTCAAAAACACAACAATAAAATAAAAACAGATTATACAAATTCATTATTATTATTCAGTATGAAGATGTAGAATAATATTCAATATACTAGAGGAGTAATAATAATCATGCCAGAGATAAAATCATTTACATACAAGATAATAGTATGATTTTTTAAAACATGCATAATAATATGAATGAGTTCTCTCCCATCCGTTATGGTACTATAGAATTTTCATAATAACAAAACTGATATTATAAACCGTTTTGACTTGGCTTGTTTGTTTTTTTTTCGACCTTGAAAACCAAAAAGCCCATCAATTAGGGTTTGCCGTGGAGAATAAACAATTTATATAATGCTTAAATAATTTTGTTAACAATCGATCGTTGAAAACTTAATTTAAGTCATTCGAATTGAACGGCTTTTAATTTTTTTAAACTTATTTTGTTTTCATTATTCATAAATAAGTATTGATATCATCAACATATATATACCTAGTTAAAAAAAACTGTATTAAGCGTAAGCAAATTTGCAATCAAAATTTGAGATGTAAAAGTCTAATGGTGTACGATTTGGCGTGGAATATCTCAAATATTTTGAAGAATACAGACGCTAATTTGATCAATTTTTTCCAAAAGTTGTATTAGCTTTTCTAATGTACATAATACGTATAAATATTATATTATTGTTTAAATATTCAAATTGAATACATCCAATATGGATTTACAATGTAAATATTTATATATCAATCTATATAAAAAGAATATATGGAAAAATGTTACGTTCCGGATTGAATTGCAAATCTATAAGATACGCCCACACACAGAAAATGGGTTAACATTATATAATTTTTGCATGTAAAGAAATCTGTATAATACAGAAGACGATTTGTTAGCTAAGCGCGCCAAGAAGAGCTGATGTCACTTTTTGAAACAAGCTATGTGTAGCAAAATACATTTAATTAAAGTACGAATTTGTATTTATTATAAGAAGCGTTACTAAAACGTTTTTAAAAGCGTATTGTGTAGATATTTGGCAGTATACGAGACGATTAAATTTATATTATTTTATTATGATATTGTTGTTGTTATAATATATATTCCAAGACGGTAATATTGTAAACGGCGAGATGAAGTAATAGCGCTAAACCCGTTTGGGAATAAAGGAGAACCCGTCCTCGATAATATTGTATCGTTCACGGTTATATTCTATTACCTATATAAATGTATATATATTGTTATTGGAAGTTATGTCGGCTGTTAAGTTTTTCCAGTCTACCACGTTAGGTTAGGGGATAAAAGCCTTCGCCTTTCACCGGGTCGACGTTGGTCATATTTTGCAGACTTTATTGTCGGGAACGGCCAAACGTTTTTTTAGTGGCAAATGGAAGAATCCAGTTTTGGTTTAAAAAACTAAAACAGAAAATGGTCTGCAGTCTGAACTTGGGTGTTCTAAACGACCATTCTCGCCAATTCAGCTGCCGATTGAGTCACGACAATATTTATATATATATATATATATATATATATATATATATGTATATTAATAATATTATAAGTATATTATTTCGATGACGATAAAATGGAAACGCGCTGACGCGAATTGGATTTGACTGCCCGGCTGATGGATAACCCCGTTGACCGGAATTATTGTCCATTTAATAATTATTAGCACTTCAATGGTCGCACCGCGGGTTTAATAATTAATGTCATTGAATCTCGCCCATTAATCGGGACACACGCTGTAATTGCATTCTAAATTCCCAGTATTGTATAATTATTGTTATTATATATATATATTTTTTTTAATTACCGCTCGCGTCCCAGGTAATTAAGATAGCGCGCAATCATCATATTATTATAATATGTATACCGGCCCGTACATTGTGTCGTCTCGCATTTCGTTTGTCTGCCTGATGTGTTCTGTTTTTACCACCGTGGTCAGTGCCGAGAACAGCAACGAACACTTACCGACACCTACATCATATGATGGCACTTACATCATCGTGTGACCCCCAAGTTTTTAAAATAACGTAGCACCTCGTTTCCAAAATTTGACGCTAACAATTATTTTAAGGTCGCTTAAAAAAGGCCAATAACGTCATTCTGTATAACAGTTATTCTAAGGTGACGTGGCATAATAATAATGAAGAAGATCCTCGTTTTACCATCGAAAACGGTCTTTGCCGTGACTATACTTGCTTGTAAACAGCTCTAAGACATTTTGTACACTTGCCCGATTTACTAGGTACCCTCCGGCGCGATCTGTGAGATGTAACAGCTTACAACAATAGTGATAACGATATGGACGTTGTGTGTATATTTTTATTCGTGTAAATACTGTGAAAAGTTAAATGGTAATCGTTGATAACGCGGTGACGTCATAGCTTCTGTTTGTTTATTATCCTATATTATTTTTCGTATAAATTGTGCACACGGACATAACCTTGCCGTTAAAACGTTTGTATTACTAGAATAATTATAGTTATTATATTACTATAGAAAACGAATGACGGAATCCAGGACGTCTGAATTCAACATATAGGTCATAGCATATACCGTCCGTGGAAAATAAATAATATATAAAGGCATATTGTGCTTGTGAGCTTTCCTCAACGGGTTTTATCTCCCTTCCTCGTCTACTGTTAAATCCTCCCTGTAAACATTGCACGCTTTCATACAACATTATATACGTCACTGTTATAGGATTTACCGGCGTCGCCTATTTTCTGAGCACAAATCCCTTGTACGACCGACAGGCCGTATAATTTATTGTCTTATGTTTATAATAACAACAATAACAGTATGTTACTATTCACTCATTTCAACACATGAGATTCACGAGAGTATATTGTATTTTGAAATGTAAACCATAAGCGTCTAATATGAAATCGATTATCAATACTTGCTGCTGCTGCTGCTGCTGCAAAAAAAGGGCTAGCTTATTAACTGTAAGTCCTAAATTTCGTTTAAACGGTCTTAATGGTTTTCACCGAGGCTTGAAGGAGTTACCGAACTTTCCAAACAATTTACAGTAAATAATTAATTACATTTAAGTTCCAATATTATAAAA